TTCTCCTGCCTCAACCTCCTGAGTAGCTGGGATTACAGGCACGTGCCACCATGCCCAGCTAATGTTTTGTATTTTTAGTAGAGACGGGGTTTCACCATGTTGACCAGGATGGTCTCGATCCCTTGACCTCGTGACCCACCCGCTTCAGCCTCCCAAAGTGCTGGGATTACAGGCGTGAGCCACCGCGCCCGGCAAGCTTTCTCACGTTTACAAGGTTTTAAGGTGGAACACTCTCCCAGGTCCACTGTATTCGCAGATTCACGCTCCTGCATGTGTCCTCACATGTGCTTGGAGGGAAGCGAGATACCTAAAGGTTTTCCCACACTGCTGGCATTCGTAGGGTCTCTCTCCAGTGTGCGTCCTCACGTGCACCCGAAGGGATGAGGAACAACTGTAGGCTTTCCCACATTCAGTGCATTCATAGGGTTTGACTCCACTGTGTGCTCTCACATGCTTTTGAAAATACTGAGCATGGCTGAAGGCTTTCCCACATTGCTTACATTCGTACGGTTTCTCTCCACTGTGGGTTCTCACATGCTCTCGAAGGGACGAGTGACAGCTGAAGGCTTTCCCACAATGCTTACACTCAAAGGGCTTCTCTCCAGTGTGCGTCCTCGCATGGATTCGAAGGGATGAGGAAAAACTGTAGGCTTTCCCACACTCCTTACATTCGTAGGGTTTCAGGCCGCTGTGCGTTTTCACATGTCTTCTGAAGTAGGTGGGACATCCGAAGGCCTTCCCACACTGCTTGCACATGTAGGGCTTCTCTCCACTGTGCATTCTCACATGTGTTCGCAGGGAGGAGGGGTACCTGAAGGCTTTGCCGCATTCCTTACATTCATAGGGCTTCTCTCCACTGTGCGTTCTCCCGTGTTCTCGGAGAGATGAGTAACATGTGAATGCTTTCCCGCAGTGTTTACACTGACAGGGTCTCTCTCCAGTGTGGGTCCTCACGTGATCTCTAAAGGAAGAGTAACAGCTGAATGATTTTCCACAATGCTTACAGTCATACGGTTTCTCTCCGGTGTGTGTTCTGACGTGTTCTCGAAAGTAGGAGGGACAACTGAAGGCTTTCCCACACTCCTTACATTCATAGGGTTTCTCTCCTGTGTGAGTTCTTATGTGCCGTGTAAGGTAGGAGTAATACATAAAGGTCTTCCCACATACTTTACATGCGTGGGTTTTCTGCCCATGGTGACCTTTCACATGTGCCCTGAAAGATGAGGGACAAGTGAAAGCTTGCCCACATTTCTTACATTCGTAAGACTTTTTACTGCTGAGACTTTTCACATAGGTCGCAGATGCTCTCCCTGGGTTCTGGCAATTACAGGGTTGCTCTATGGTCTGAGTTTTCACAGGAGGGCTTTGGCAGGAGAGGCAGCTGCAGGCTTGCCCACATTCCTCACACAGATGCAGCCTCTGCCTGGTGTGAGATCTCTGCCGATTCTCGGAGGCTTTGCCACACGTAGTGCACTCAGAGGGTTTACCTTCGGTAGGGTAACACCTGAGCACAAGAAGGTTCGCGGTATGGCTCAAGGTCTCTCCACACTGATGACCTTCATTATTTTCACAGAGGACCCCCAGCTGACTTCTGTTCAAAACAGGGAGCATACGAGTCATTAATGATTCTAAGTGATTAATTTATTAATAGTATTTAGTGATTACTTTGATTACATATTTGCCAATTTCACTGAATGGGGGTATTTTCAGCACTGTCTGCCTTGTTTCTATGGGGAACAAGCTCAATGCTCTAGTTAAAGGCTCAACTGCAGCCATAAATTTCAGGGTTTTTTTTAAGACAGGTCTCACTGTTGCCCAGGCTGGAGTGCAATGGCGCGATCTCGGCTCACCGCAACCTCCATCTCCTGGGTTCAGGCAATTCTCCTGCCTCAGCCTCCTGAGTAGCTGGGATTACAGGCACGTGCCACCATGCCCAGCTAATTTTTTGTATTTTTGATAGAGACGGGGTTTCACCATGTT